GGCCCCCGACTCCCACCCCGGGCAGCGGGGGCTCTGTCCTCACCTCTTGGATGAGGATCTGGGCCACCTCCCGGTGGTTGTTGAGGGCGGCCAGGTGCACGGCTGTGAAGCCGTCCTCCTTCCTGGCGTCCACCAGCTGCCGCGCCCAGGCCAGGATCCTCCTGACCGCCCTGTGGAGCAGGGAGGTGTCTGGTGGAGGGGCTCCCGGAGCGGCCCAGCAGCGTGGCGGGCGCCTGCTCCGGGCTGTGTGCCCACCCCAAACTCACAGCGTGTGGCCCTTAAGGGACGCGTGGTGCAGCAAGGTGAAGCCCTGGCTGTTGGTGGCGGTGACATCGATGCCCGGCACCTCCGTGAGGACCTCCACGATGCCACTGGCGCCGGCGCCCGCGGAGATGGCGTAGTGCAGGGGCGTGTTGGCCTGGGCGTCCTGTCGGTGGTGGGCCAGTGGTCACTTGGCGGCAGGGCTCCTTGACCCCAGGGATCGGACCAGGGGCCCCGCACTCACTGGCAGGTTGACGTCACAGCCCAGCTCACACAGGGCCCTCACCACCTCCAGGAAGCCCCTCTGCACGGCCACGTGCAGTGCTGTGCTCCGGGTGCCGTTCAGAGCATTGGCCTGGCACCCCGCAGCCAGGAGCAAGCGGGCCGCCTCGGGCTGGTTCCTGAGGGGAGAGGAGGCGGCAGGGTGCTGTGCCCACTGGCAGAACTGCGGGCCCAGCCCCCACCCAGCCGCCAGGCCTCACCCCAGGGCTGCGTAGTGCAGAGCCGTGTTGCCCTCGTCATCGGACAGGTCCACGCCCGCCCGGGCCTGCAGCAGCAGACGCAGCAGCTCCACCTGGCCCAGGTAGGCAGCCACCTGCAGGGCCGTCCTGCCCTGGTTCTTGCTGTCCACCTGCCGGGAGCACTGCTGGTCAGTTCCTGGCCCCCTGCTCCCCACCCTGGGGTGGGCCAAGCCTGGGATGAGGGTGGGTCCAGGAGCCTGCCTGCTCGGGGTGTCTCCGCAGCAGGTCCAGAGCCCGGGCCACGCTGCCCAGGGCCGCCTCCACCACCAGCCGCCCGGGGTGCTCCAGGTCGCTCTTCTGGGCTCGAAGCTTGTCCAGGACGACGCTCAGGGAGCCTGCAGGGGCGGGGGAGGGGGAGAGGTTAGGCAGGGGCCAGGGCACCCCCCCCTACACACAGGCGGCCGCTGCTGGGTCCGCACTTTTGTTCTCCCGGGCGCGCTCAGCCACGTCCAGGTTGGCGTCCTCTTCAGGCCGATAGGCCAGCAGGCAAGAGGGGCTGAAGGTCCACAGCTGACCGCCGACCGCCACACGCAGGTTCCCGTCTCCGAAAACCTTCACCACCTTCCCGACTTGGCCCAGGGCCTGAGGAGAGGGGGGGGGTCACAGGCCGGTCTCCCGGGGGTGAGGGAAGACAGGGAGGAGGGAAGGGGAGGGGAGGGAGGACAAAAAGGGGGAGGGGAGGGGTGGGGGTCTCACAGGCGCCATGTCATCTGTCCACTCGCCGTGCCCAGCCTGCAGCCGCTTCACCGTGTCCAGGTCGTCCATGACCCGCACCACGTCGCCCACCCAGAAGGAGTTGTGCTGAGTGAGAGAGAGGCCGGTGAGGGGCCCTGACCATGTGGCTGCCCAGGGTCGTGGAGCAGGAGGCACCACCATCAAGCTCCACAGGATAGGCCGGCCTGAACTTGACCCTAACCCCTGACCAGAAACACAACCAAAGGGTCTGGCTGGACAAGGCCACTGGTGACCAGGGCAGCCCTGGGTAGCTCAGTCCCTGTGCCCCAGGGGTGACAGCTGAAGAGGCAGCAGCGGATCCAGACCAGACAGAAACCAGCTCTCGGCAGGTGGGACACCCAGGACAGGCCTGTCCTGCACAGATGGGGAGCAGGCAGCATGGCCATGGCCAGAGCAGAAGGCGTGGGGTGTGGTCCCAGCATGACCAGGGGCAGGGCCAGAACAGCAGGGAGACGGACCAGGGCCATTCCCCACCCACAACCCCCCCCTTGTCCCCTCACCTGCATGTGACTCGCTCTAAACTGTCTCATGACCCCACACACCCTCCTTGGAGGCCCTTCAGGTCCTGAGCTGGTGACAGCACGTCCCCCTCCTTGGCACCCACTCCTTCCCAGGGCCCCCATCTGTGGACGTGCGCCTCCCAGCTGGGAAGTCCTGCTTTGAGGTGCCCCTTCCCAGCCCGCCGCCGTGGGCCAAGCACCACCCTGTCCTGTGGGCCTTCCCGTCCCGTCACCATCCCACACGCTCCCCACACAGCACCCACGGGGCACGTGAGAAAGCAAAGCGACCACGTGGCCTCCTGCCCGTGGAGCTGTGGTGGCTTCCTCGGGCTCTGCCCAGCTGCCAACGCTGCACCTCGCCCTCCTCCGTCCCTTCACACCTGGACCCCCTAAGCCCTCTCCTCCTCCTCAGGGATGAGCAGGTCCACGGAGGGGTGTGGAGGGAATGGACAGGGCTCGCCCGCCCCCCATGCACCTTGGTGAGAGCCCCCGGGTGGAAGGTCCAGCGGGTCTCGTGGCTGAACTGCACGCGCACGTCCCCGCGGTCCGTGATGCGGTGCACGGTGCCCGTCTGTCCAAGGAACTGTGGCGGTCGTGGAGGCTGTGGCTCGGGTCCAGGGAAGGGGGAGGGGAGGGCACAGGGCTAAGGGGCGGGGCAGCTCACCTCCGCCATCCTGGGGTTCCACCCGCCATGGCCTTCCTGCATCTCCCTCAGGACGTCTGTGTCCAGCAGACACGCGACCTTGTCCCCGGGCTGGAAGGGCTGGCCGTCAGCACTCACCCGGCGCTGCAGCTCTGCGGGCTTGCCTGGAGGCAGGCGCAGGCCCAG